AACTAAAGTCTGCTGAGTTCTAGCTCCTGGAGACACTTGCTGAACACTCGCAACGCATGAGTCAGTAACACATTTGATCTCTTTTGTGGACATTTAGGGGACTAGCATATAGATCCCACCAGAGCTACTGTACAGACATGGACTAAACGCCACAAAACACCCATTTTGATAGGAATGCATTATATTTCTCCATCACACTGGATTCGTAACAGTGAGTGCGACTGTGGACGGAAGCTGCTGTGAAGGTTCCTCCTGGGGTTTGATGACGCTGCGCTCATGGAGCCGGATCGGTGCGCACAGGCCGCAAAAACACCCTGTTTGGAAGTGCATGGCTGAATATAACACCTGCAGGACAGACAAGGTCGTTCCGGGGAGCCGTCTGAGCTCAGATCGATGGAGAAACATCTGAGCCAGCATCGGTCCAGCTCATTCAGAGGAGCTCATGACCGCACCGCGTCTCTGCTTCTGTCGTTCAGAGACACTCACACACGCTCTAGTCCCAAAACCTGATGCTTTATTGTTTTTGTTTAGTCAAGGTCACATTAAAATGTCTTGGAAATGGTTTGCCATTGACCTCATTATTTATTTATTTATTTATTGTTATTTAAATGCCTTACACATAGACTACACTCTCAGAAAAAAAGGTACAAAAGTTGTCACTGGGGCGGTACCTTTTCAAAAGGCACAACTTTGTACCTAAAGAGTCCATGTTGGTATCTTAAAGGTTCATATTAGTATCCAAAGTGTACATCTTAGTACCTAAAAGGTACAAAAGTGTACCTTTTGAAAAGGTACCGCCCCAGTGACAGCTTTTGTACCTTTTTTTCTGAGAGTGTACTGTAAACAGATTTTACTGTTGTACCCCAGACGCAGACTTTCAATCTTTACAAACATTATGAAAAATTCAGAAAATCCTATTTGAAATTTAAATGATACACTATTGCAATATTCATATATGGTGAAAATAACAGTTTTGAACAAAAGGGCAGACTATTTTCTCTTTGCTAATACATAAATGCTGCATTTTGTATATTATATATCAGTATATACATAAATATGTTTAAAACGTTAAGACAAAATATTATGAAATACAGTAAAAATATCCTGTTGACCTGAACGAGTACACTAATTTTCGAGAAAATCTCTAAAAACTGTTGGTCGTAACAAAAAAAAATAAAAATAATTTAATTTAATTTAATTTAATTTAATTCAATTTATTTTAATTAAATTTAAACTCTGTAATTTCCGAGCTGCAATTTTGTCAAATTGAGCAAAAATAATGTTCAAATTATATTTTATACATATTTATTAATTTATTTATGTTTCATATACATAAAATGCTACATTCATGTATTAGCAAAGACAAAATATTGGCCCTTTGGTTAAAAACGGTCATTTCCATCACAGAATGATGTTAAACACAATCAATTATTAATATGTGCTGAAAATTAAATTGTTGGACCAAAATGATATAACAACAAAAATAACTAAACTGATTCGCATATTGTTGGACTCTGATAAATGACAAATGAAACTAGAAAAAGCACCAAAAGACAACATTCTCTACAATACATACTCTTATACAGCTGCGTGTTTGAATGAAAAGTCAAAATAAATCTCATAACTCAATATGTCTTACTGTCAATATAAGCACAAATTGGTCTGACGTTTAAATTAGTTAATCATTTTCCATTGTATGATTTATTAAAACTAAAAAAAGTCTGTGAGCTCAGTGACCCTGCGCTGATATCTGACCGCATGCTGACCATTGCTCTCCACTGCGGAAGCTGCGAGTCCTGAGCTGAGCTGCAACACTATTATTTATTCATAAAGAGTGCTTGTTGTGCAGGAGGCCATTAAAGGACATCAGACTTGAGATAGCATTGCATTACCTGCTCATATATTATGAATGGAACAAAGGACGATCACTCTTTGCTGTAGCTGCAAAAATAGATGCACTTTAGAAAGTGTTGTGAACGGTTTGAGACGCAGTCAGAATCTGAAAGTGGGAGCAAAAACAACTGATATTAAATTATTTACTTTTTGTAATGTATGTTTCTGCTATTGTGGGGGGAAGTCGTGGCCTAATGGTTAGAGAGTCGGACTCGTAACCCAAAGGTCGTGAGTTTGAGTCTGTGTGTGTGTTCACTGCTGTGTGTGTGCGCACTTAATGCAGTGAGCACTAATTCCTAGTATGGGTCACCATACTTGGCCACATGTCACATCACTTTTTTTTTTCTTTTTTTTTTGTTGTGTATGATTCATTGGTCTACGTTATTAAAAACGTAAAAAAAAATAAAATAAATGCATACATTTTTTATTTAGATTTTATTTTTATATTTTATTTTAATTTATAATATATTTTAATTTTAGTTAAAGGTTTAGGAATTTCGAGCATGTGTTTTTGTCATTTTTATTCATTTTAATTTTTTTTTTATTTGAAAAAATATGTGTCTATGCAGTTTTAGTTTCTTGTTTTAGTTATTTATAGTCATTTTAGTGCCTAATACTGTATGTAATGTAATAAAACTTAAATATAATAAAACATAAATTATATGTAATTTTTACAAATGACATATATGTTTTTTAAATATTTTAATTTATATTACATTTTAATTTTAGTTAAAGTTTTAGTAATGTTGCTGTCTGTTTTTGTCATTTTGTAGGTTTAGTTTTCGGTATAGTTTATTTAATTTGAGTTATTTATAAAATTAGTTATTTTAGTGCTTGATATGAACTTAATATGAAATATAATCAAATGGAAATATAATTTTTAAAATTTAAATAAGTTTAAAAATGAAAACATTGTTTTCAGTTAAACAGTTAATGTTTATTTTATTTCATCTCAAGTAGAAAACATTATGTTATGGTTGTGATTTCAGTTTTAGTTAACGATAATAACCCTGAACTGAATCATAATTCCTCACATCCTGTAGAGCTTCATGGGCCATTGCAAAAGCAAACATCTCCTAAACTCAGCCATCAGCTGTTTAATCTCTATTTATTCTGACATTTAAACCAATTTTCCCCGAATGAAGTTTTTATTCATTTATCCTAATTACCTTGGCCTGTATTTGTTGAAAGAAAAGTAGTTCACTGCGAGATGCTTATGCAAGTCTAGAGGAGGAGCGAGAGAGAAAAGTGGCATGAGAAGTGTTGCTTATTTTTAAAGCAGCATTAGTCATTTGCTCTAGAGATCATGGAAAGGGAAAAATGTCCTGATGACATAATGATCCTTTAACAGTTTCCATACTGAGGGTTTACATTACACATTGCAGTGTCTGGATATACTCGAATCATTTGTACACACTCTCTCACGCACAGGCCTGCAAACACGCAAAAACTAATTCTAGGTGAAAAGAGTTGCTGTTCTCTCTTTAACAACATTTTACACATACAAAAAAAAAAAGTACACTCATATGAGTAACCTATTAAATATCAGTAAAACGGAAAACAGTTCAAAAACATTTCTCTGGTTCATAGCACCTGGAAGTCTGAATCATCAGTGTCTCAGCAATGGATGCTCTGCAGTGAATGGGTGCCGTCAGAATGAGAGTCC